AGGCAAACAAAACTAAGTATCAGGAAAAAACATTTTTAAAATTAACACTGTAATATCTGAAAAGATTAAAAGGTACTTTTCAAATGCATTGCATTTTTACGTCTGAAAAATAGAGATTAGAAAAAGCTTAATACCTGAAAGCTGCACAGCAAAGATTTCATTCAAAGTAATCAGCAAGTCCAAAAGTAACCTAAGCTTCCAAAGTTGTGTCAATCAGATGGTATCAAAGATTTTTCAAATAATCGATACTTTTCTATTTTTATTAACTATCTGGGTCAGTAAAAATTAATAATATTCTACTACTTGGCAAAGGTGGTGTATGAAATAAAGGATTTCAGCATGTATATAGTTCCAGTGACATTAACCTACCACCTTCAAATCAAAATACTGCTTCGGCAACAAAACCCATTCCTGGTACCAAAAGATATTAGCAGCGTTGTGTAATGAACAGTGTCCAAGTGTTGTAAAGAAAAAAGGAGGACCAACCACATTTGTGATTTTAATTGTAGGTAAAGTGTATATACTTTCCAAACTTCTGTAAGTACAGTTACTGAACCTTACCTATAAGTTACACTAAGTTTGAACACACAGAAAGCCTTAATACTGGGAAGCAGCCTAGCAGCCCCGTGGCTGAGGGGCACAGAGGCCATTAAGCAGCAGCTGCAGTTCTGATTGGTTTCACTAAAACAAGTCTATTCAGAAACACATCTGAATACCAGGCAAAATTACTGTTTTTTTTCCAGGATGACAGCTGATAGATATCCACTTCAGCGTAAATAACTGTCTAGGTTCTTGTGACTGAAAAGGGAGGTTGGACACCTACTACGCAAGTAGAAAGCAATTTAGGAGCTTAAATCAGTTGTCCACACATAGATGTCTACTTCCACACAAGATGCCCTGTTTTATCTGAGAAATCTGTTTTCATATCTACCAGGCCATGCAGGAGGTACGGGAGATCTGGGCCCTTATGGAGAAGCAGGAGTCAAGGAAGGATCTGTAACAGATCTTAAACAGAAGCAGAAATCTATGTATAGAAAACTGCATCATGCAGTGGCTTTTATCTGGAGCTCAATGGTAGCCTTGGCAAATCTGGCATTTATCAGAACAAGAATGAAATAATATCAGTAGTCAACAGATCCAAGTCCAGCACAGCTCAGAAAGCCTATACAAATTCATCACATCACTTGAGCTTCACAGAGGACTGTAAAATAGGGACAGCTACAAAATAGTGACAGCACCTAAACATACCAGGAAAACATCCAACCATGGAGAAGACGGGCTCAGAACACTTTCATAAAGACAAAGCACAGCTGCTCAAGCAAAGTGCACAGAATTCCTAACAACCTCAGCAACTGATTGAACAGATCTGCAGATTTCATTCCAGTATACAGATTAGAAACATGTCCCCAAAACATATGAACTAATCCCGCAGATTAGCTTGGTTTGGGACCACATCTCACCAGGCTTCCACAGATCACCCTTGATTATATGAACAGAGACCAAAAGAAAGACTTATGACAACTGCAAATACACATGGAAAATTATGTAGTAGAACAATAAATGCTGTATTTATCTGGAATGCACATCTCAGCACGGACCAACATGAGCCTGCTTTTAAAGGAGTCTTCATTTGAGAAAAAGTACGACTCATTATAGCTTGAGGGTGCAGGGAATCAGAGTTAAGTGAGTTACATCTTCTCTCATATAATTTACACACCTGCATGCGGCCAGTAACATAAAATGGCATTTCGCCTAATGAGAAGGAATATCAATCTTCAAGAAAGTACCCTGAAAGTTTTCTGACTGTCAGTGGCAAAATATGCAAAGTTGCAGATCGGAAAGTACACCTATTTTTCAAAGACAGCTATGAAGGGCTGAGTTTAGAACACATATCTTAAGATGTGATATTCTTGTTATGGCTATTTATATGCTAGCTATTTTATATACTGTGTATAAGTACAACTTTTATATACATACATACAAACACACACTCACACGCTCTTGCTAGTTACTACTTCCTACAGAAAAGTCTGTATATTGGTAAATATATTTATACATGAAATATTTAACTTACATGGTCTGGCAGTTTTATGCCTCTTACAGTTACATATAAAGTTGATGGGTAACGATTTCTAGGACATTTTGCCCACCAGTCATAAACCTCAACAACATTTGAATGTGACTTCATCCTTGGAGGTGGGTAATATAATTGCAGACGGAGTTTTCCATCAATGTTTCGAACTCCATTTGCACCTACAAGCTGGAAGGGTGATTAAAAAGAGGCAAAAAGGCGTTAAATTAACATAAAAGTAATAAACGTCATTGATTATTTCTAATATCTTAAACATCTACAGTATAAACTCCGAAATCCACTTCCCACTGGGGAAATACAATATCCCTAAAAGTGGTAATGAAGTAAGCATGTATTAAGCACCAGGATTAAATCATTAAGATCAAAGCTTAGATGGCAGCCTAGTTTTGAAACATGTTTCATATGCACAACAGTAATATCCTGTATGTGGGAAGACCTCTGCAATACCTTTTTTTTTTTTTTTAAAAAAAAAAAAATCACTGCTTGCTGGAATCACCCAAATCTCAAAGGACTGTCAGTCCACAAAGAGCCTCTTCCAAATCTGCCCCCTTTGAACACTGCAGCAAAGGTAATTGGTAAGGCTTGGACTCAGAGCAGAAGATGCAGCAAAGCAGTAACCTTTCCAGCTTCAGAGGAAATATGAGTTCTCTCTGTTGAACCAAAGAACAAGTATACCTACTGCCACTAACACTGACCACTGCTCATCAGGACACTTCTACTTTGACTGATACAGATGAAAGGATAATGCAGATACAGTAGGAACGAAGAAGAGGCCACAATTTTATTTGTATTTATGAGATGGAAATTCATCCTTCCCTTTGTTCAGGAGTAGGCTGTACTGAATGCCTGGATGCACAGTTCCCACCAGCTAGAGACCCAGACACAGGATACCAGACCTCTGATTCCAGTAGATTCATCTCGGTCAGAGCTGAGAAGACACTCTGTATGAAATGACATGGAGGTCCCTCTCCCTTCGCCTAAACTTGCAATCCATTATCTTTTCCTGTATTTCTTATGTTGTAGACTGCTCAATGCCTGCCAAAATCTACGACTCACAGGGACAGGTGTAATTGAACAATCCTCAGTAAAATTAAAGCTTGTCAGCTCTCAAAAGCCACACTGGTACATTCAAGTCTTTCCTAAAAGTGTAAAATTGTCTGTTACGGGCTGGCCAAATTACCTGTATCTCATTGCTGCAGCATTTCAAACTCTGCAACTAACAATGACAGGCATTTTATAATTAGGTTAAGGAGCCTTTTCAAAGACTGGCCAAATGAAAATGCTACTAGAATACAGAGTAGCTGAGGTATAGAAATTAGTGGATTCGTCACTTTGCAGAACAATCTCATAAACACACAGAAAACCCCCAAAGAAAACCTCCTTCTGTACGTTATGAACAGAAAAAAAAAATTTCTTAGACATTCTATATTTTCTTGAAAAATACATATTCTTTACTGTCAAGCTTGTTACTGTGAATTTTATGTGGTGGAGGAAGAGGGAAAGGAGAGAAAGGCCAAGAAAGCAAGGATTTGGTTTTCCATCTCCGTTACCTGGAAATATTAAAAATAAAAATAAAAATATCTTTGCCCACTTTGTGTGGTTAGTGTCTTTTAGATGATTGAATAAAGAGATTTATAATTTTTTTTCTTCATTTAAATATTTACAATACCTTTAGAAATGCCCAACAAATTTTTCGGAAACCACATTCCTGAATTTGTACATCAGAGTTGGCTCGCACTTCGTCCATACTCAGAAAATCAAGGATCTGAAAGTATTGACAGGAATGTATTTCTAATGAATAAATAGTTCACGGTAATTAAAAAATACTGCTGAAAATATGCTAGATGCGATTCACTAAATTAAGGAGATTTCAATTTTAAGCTGTTACAAAAACAGTACTTCTTCCACACTAGTAAGCAATTAGAAATAACAGATCTTTATGCATTTAACTGATGACTATTTATGACCTGCTTCAAAAAAAGAACAGAAGTCTGGTCTTAAAAAGCTATTCTTGCTTCCCTTCTGCCTCAACAAATGTGTTCATGTGCAACTTTCATAAATCCTATATAGTTCACAAATCATATAGATCACAAATCTGACAGCCAAAACTAGCTGTATGTTAATCTAGCTGGAAAACAGCAGTGAAAAAAAGTTAGTTTTCCTTTCCTAGCTTTATCACTTATGTTATTGAATCGATCATAGAACGGTTTGGGTTGGAAGGGACCTTCAGAGATCATCTAGTCCAACCCCCGTGCCATGGACACTAAATCAGGTTGCTCAAAGCCTTGTCCAACATGTCTTTGAACACTTCCAATGACGTCCATGAGTTTCTTCATTTTTCTGGTCAGTGACCAGATCTTCTCATATTTAGCCACTCCTGGAGGTTTATCTTGTATACAAAAATACTTGGAATCATGCTTTATTCAAATTGGTATTTCATAAACCACACTGAAGTCAAACAGTATGCTTTCAGCATAGTCATACTTTTGGTCCCAACATTAACATGATTTCCATGAAGAATCTTTACATACAGATGTAATTACTTTTGTGTTAAGCAACTAACGACTCTTAACTCTATAAATGTGTTCATTTATGAGCATCACAAAACATAAAGAAACATATAGTAATATTGTATATACTATCTATTTGAAATATAAAAAACAAGGAATAAGAAAATATTTATTGTATTAGGTTCCCACTTTTGGGTTAATACCACAGAATCTCTCATTATAAACATTGAAATACTTGAGCTCAAGATCATGTTGAATTTTATAACCTTACAATTTTTCCTTTAAATATAATTGTATTGGAGGATGAATTAATAATTTGTGAAGAATAGGAGAGGAGAAGTAGATGTCTAAACTGTTAATGGAAAATGATGCAATGGCTTGCTCATCAATGCAGGGGAAAAGAGGTGTTGCTACAAGCAGGCAAGCTCCATCTTTGAGTTTCTGGTACTTAAGATTCTTTTCAGATTTCAAGAACGTAAAAATGGAAAAAGTGATATCCTTTCTACATGGTGCCATCCCTCCTGATCTGGAACGATCTTATCAGCCTTTCCCAGAATTTTGACAGTTGATTTAATAAGAAAGCTTTGTCCTCCTTAATACTATCAAAACAGGGGGGTTGATGTATAAAAAATATTTATTAGTATTAGCAATCACCAATACCACTTTTTGGTACCTCCACTTAACTCTGTACCTTAAGGCTATGTTCTTAACCCAATATAACTGAAATAAAACACCTGAATCAGTCAAATATATACTGTTCAAGAAACAAACAGAAAAATCATAACATGCATAAATTTGATGTAAAATATTTAACCTTACCTCAAAAAACAGGATTACCCAAGGGCTTTCTTCGTTATTCTGAATAAAGTAACTGAAACGCTCATTAAATATGACTTGCTCCTCCCACTCTGGAACTGTTGATTTAGACTGTCTGAAGTCATATGGTTGTGTCATAATAGGAAGAATATGCTCTATTTGTTCTTGTTCATAATAAGATGAAACTTTCCTCTTGCTGTTTGAAAATTTCCAAAGAGTTATAATTGTTATAGCACCTTAACAAAAACCAACTCAAACAAAACAGTATTTTCAACTACTGAAAGCAAAGAAACATTCAAGATACTGTTTGTTTGATTTTAGAAAAAAAAAATTCTAAACCCACCCAAAATTTAAGACAATTCGCAATGTCTATAGAAATGCTACAGGCTGAAGTTCAAAATCCTAGCAATCAAGTTACTGTTACCAAATTTATGCATAATGATCATGGTAGAGTCTACTGCTTAAACACTGTTAAAAATTGGTTTTCAGGAAAATTATGCATAATGACAGGGGAAACAAGTAACTGAAGCAGTCAGAAATATGAACAACTAAACTTCATTTCAGGATTTTAAAAGTTCTTTTATAAAACAGAAAAGGCAGATGCTATTTATGCTACAAGAGTTTTGCTAACTTATTCTAATCTTAGCTTCTACATAATTTTGAGATTTAGGAAATCTTCTGTCTGAAAGAATACAGAATGAACTGCGCTGTAAATATGGGGACTTTGAGAGCAATACAGCAGCGCAGAGCACCTAAAAGTACCAAAAAGAAAAAGAAAAATACTATCCCAATTTACTGTTGGTATATAGGTAGGTTACTGTATCTATATCACAGATGTAGAAACTAATGAATGACCTTGCAAGCTTAAAATTCAGCATTATTTTCATTTTCGTATTTAATTTTCTAGGGAAAAATCTATGTATTTATAGTAATCATTTATAACAGAAAAAGTTTATTAAGTCACCTGTGATCCTTCTTGACATATAAGCCACTTCTCTGATCAACAACATGGATTTTAACCATGGGATGAGACACCAGGAGATCAGTTTTAAGTCGATCAGATCGATGGATATAAACTCCCAACACAAGATCATCATCAAAACCAAGTTTAGACTGAGTTGAAATTTCTGAATTCTTCATTTCCTCGTCATTTTCTACAGCAACTTCCGTGTTTTCTTCTAGAAACAGGCACAGAGTAAATAGAGGTTACTATGCTCCGCTAGTGGCAATTCAAAGGAGTAAAAATGCTTAGTATTGTCTTAGGAATCAATAGTAAAGTCATAATATTTAACGTGCTCTTTAAGTAATAGTTTAAAAGAAAATTATCAAATTTGCAGCATTTTAAACACATATGAACATACACGTGAATTTCTATGAATTAATATAATATACACCTATTAACAAACATTTTTATTTAAAATCAGAGGTCTTCCTCTTGATTGACAAAAGTTCTTGTGCCACAATGACTTAAAATCCATACAGTTCAATATCCTGCTCTGGACTACAGCGTATAGAAGGATTTTTTGGTTTTTCTAAGGAAAACATAATAAACAAGATAAGCAGAAACACTGTTTTCAAAACTACAAGTTACGGTAAGGCCTTTGTACTTCACAGATATCTAAAGACTTACTCCTCATCAATTTCTGTCATCTCCATTTTTTTAAACTAATTTTAAACTATTTTGGCCTCCACAACCTTTGAGGAAATGAATTCTCCAATTTGACTATGTGTTGCATGAAAAAGTATTCCTTATGTTTGAATTGAGCATCAGGTTAAAACAGTGGTGATGCCCCATTCACAGCATAAAGTAAATAAAAATGATAAAATAATAAAATGATAAAATAATAAAGAGACAATTACAATATGCATCTAAGTAATACACTGTAAAGGTGATCTATATATACTAATATTATTATATTATGCTTAAACCCCCCCACTTTTTAACTATTTATCAATTTCAAAACTATTTGCAGTAAATGAATTCTCAAGATTTTAGATTCATATATCAAATTAACTTCCTTACAAATTAGTCTCAGAACTGGTAGAACAAAAATACAATCAAGTAACTAAAGAAACATAAGTGGCATCAACAGCTCAATCACTTCTGTGTTATTACTATGGACAAATATTTCTGTAGCAGCGCAAAAAAAAAAAAAAAGAAGAAAAAAGAAGACTTGGACAAAGCAGCACACCATTCTAACATGTTGTTGGCAAACCTTTTCTGTTTTTCTTTTTAACCTTCTTTGCCTTAGGTTTCTTTTTTTCCATGCTTTCTTCCAGTTTCTGTCCTTCTGATGTAAATAGTCTTTCCAATGACTGATTTTGATTACCATCTTCTGCTGGATGATGCTGTAGCTCAGAAAGGGACATTGCACTGCAATGTAATGGATTACTGTCAGCAATTGAATTCTACCACACATATGGATAAAATTGCTCGTTACCATTATTAATCCACTTGAAATTTCCTCTTTAGCTCTGCAACTCATCATCTGTGTGTCTCGAAAATGTAACACACACCCCAACATTAGCGTCTTGCCTTTTTCATTTTTCTCCCCTCTTCATTTCCCCTAATTTCCAGATAATTGCAGAACCATTCATGTGAATAGAGCTAAGCTCATAGTCTTCTGCTGGATCAGGGCCATCACCCATCACTAAAAAACCATGCACAAAATTACCTTAAGTTAGTTGAGAGTGAGTTCCCCAGAAAATAAACATCAGATAGTAATGAAGGATATTTTTTTTAAAAAAGTGAATCAGAAACTGTGAGTTAAATATTAATCTTAACAACATTTTGAAAAAGTATTTGGTAATATTTTTCCATAACAGAATCATTCAATTAATCACTTAGAAAATACGTTCAGTTTATCAGAAAGCGTCTGCCTATCTTAAAACAAATGAAACATTTTGCTTAAGATTCACAGACACACAGTATACAGTTTATCGTGGTACCTTGTTTCAGCTTCACTTAAAACTGCTACTTCTTTCTTTTTTTTCTTCTTTTTGCCCACTTCATTGTTCAGTACAACTTCATGGCTTTGAACACTGGAGGTAAATTCGGACATCTGTTCTTTAAGTTTCATTCTTATCTTCTTTTTAATTGCATTTGCCTCATCCTCAGCCACATGCAGCTGATAGGCTCGAATTAGCTCTTCTTCCTCTTCCAATTCAGTTACATTTCTCTCTTCAGTCAAGGAATTTTTAATCTTTCTATCACCTTCTTGATGAGGTACATCTGTTTGTGATTTACTTTTTGTTTTCTTCTTTGAAAAATCATGAATCTTTTCCTCAAAACTCTCCAATTTAGCCTCATATAAATTTTCCTCCTCATTAAATTGTTCTTGTAACAGTGATTTCTTTTTCTTCTTGTTAGACTTCGGTTGCTTGTTCTCCTCTCCACAAACAATATCATTGTTTATTTTCTCTGCAATTGAGGCCTTCTCTCTCAGTTTATTTTTTGTAAATCGGGGACTCTCTTCTTCAGGATTGTATGTGTTGTTTATAATTGCTTCATCATTCACACTTTCCTTAGCTAAATCAATATTACTTCTAAAGGTGTCAAGCTATAAATGAAAAGAACAGTTATAAATGAAAAGAACACTTGTACTAAAAATTATGTTCTAAGGATAAACATAGAACTTTATGTTATTTCTTTAGCAACATTACACAAAGTGAAATGAAATCAAAGATCTAGTTATTTTCTTGTTTAAAATTAACAAGTGACAGATTGAAAGGCAACAGAAAATTCACACCGGAAAAAAAAAAATTCTGTGTTTGAGGACTTCAACCTCAATTTTGTTTCACTATTTCACTATATATTCACTTTTTAAATTACTTTTATGTATATCCCATAAAAAAGAAATCAACAAGTCTACTCCACAAACAGATGCCAATACTTTAGACTATGGAAGACTTGAAGATTACATGCAGCAGGAAATCAAGTATTTTCATCCACTTAAAATGCAAGTTAGAGACAGGCTTCAGGCTCAGATATTTGTAGTCTCTTTTACTGAAAGTTGCTTGCCAAAGTTTGACAATGAAACTATCTTAAGGAGTGCTAAAACTGAAAACCAGATTTTCATTAAGAATTTTTTAAAAAGTATAAAGTTGAACTCTCCCCCCATTATTCTTAGCAGAACGACAAAGAGTTGATCTAAAGACCAGTCTAGTAAATACAGCTAAGATAAATTTCAGCTAATGCATTTGTTTGTGCACTCCTTCTGCCAATTTTTGGTGTTTTTACAGAAGACACATCGTAAACTTCCTCCCTCCCTTCTTCAGGTTTCTACTCCTGGTTACTAAATGCCTGGTTATAACGGCCCATCCCTGGAAACATTCAAAGTCAGGTTGGACGGAGCTCTAAGCAACCTGATCTAGTTGAAGATGTTCCTGCTCATTGAAAGGGTGTTGGACCAGATGACCTTTGAAGGTCCCTTCCAACCCAAACTATTCTATGATTCTATAACTCCAAACAACCCAGCTAGTAACTAAGGCCTAATTCTGTAAGGAGCTGGACAAATAGATCTCTGTGCCTTGCTGGAACTTCTATAAGTTGCTGAGGTTCATTTACTCTGCTGTCTTACATAAAACTCTCTGGAGTCTCCACATGAAACATTAGAAAGGACTTTAAAACACAAGGAAAGCAAATTAAAAAAAAAAGTTGGAGAAAATATAAGTATCTGCATGCAATCTTTGCCAAGACCATCCTCTTCCCTGAAATACAGACATCTTCCCCTTCCAGCTGGGGTACTTCTTCCAGTTACTGAATCATGTTTGCCTCAAACATTTTTAAAAAGGCACAGTATGCGTAATAAGTAATCAACAAAATATAGAAGCTTATAAGAAGAAACAACAGAGAACAAAGTTGCAATGGCAATCATTCTTTGGACAATGGATCCTGACTTAAAAGTGCCCACCTGCATGAATAACCTTCATTCTACTCATGGAATAGAACACTCAATGCGCAAGTTGTCTGCCTCCATATTGTACACCCTCAATTATATGAGCCTGCAAACCTTCATCACTATCCTGTTTTATTCACATCTGACATTTGAAGAGAGAACATGGAGAGCAAGGCAAGTATTGAAGAAGAAGGGAAGAAAAAGAAAGAGAAGTTTAAAGTACATGAGTGAAAACACAGAAAAGAAAAAAATCAAGGAAGTTTATTATTTGTACAGGAAAATTGTCAAATAAAAGCAGTATGACAAGAAAAATACATCAAGACAAAATTTAACACAGAAATAAAAGCTGATGTCTGAAACTAGAGACAAAGCTTAAAAATGCACTAACTAGACCTACTAATGCTACATATTAAACAACACTGTTCTAACAAAGTATGAGTTAAAAAAGAAAGCATCTCAAATTTCATGCAAGTATGCTTATCTAATACATCAGAAAAATCTAAAGCCATTCATATGTCTTTTCAGTATGTATTTTTATTTTTAGCATCCTATGTCTAAAAATAGCTTAATTATCTCAATATCAAATAATGAAAAAACCTGTCTTTGTACCTGCACCTTTTACTTGCTCAAATAGATCAGTAACACCTTCTTTATTCATAAGTCAAAGATTTAAGAGGATGTGGAAGATTTTGTATAAATAACTTGAAATACAGAATAGAGTAACAAAAATAAAATAAAAAAACCAAAACCAACAGCAACAAGCTTTGTATAAACTAAAAAAACCCACAACAAACCACCAAAATAAGGCTAATAGATTGTCGACCTCCTCATCTGCACTTCTAGGAATATCTTTAACTGCAGAATACAAGGAATGAAGGTTAAAACATACTGGCAATTGAGACCCAAGAGTGACCAATAGCTAAGGTCATGCTGAATTTTGCCTTTCATACAACATTAATCCATTAAGCCCAAGAAGTAGAATTCTTTGAGAAATCTTAAACAAAAAGCCCTCGCCTTTGACCTGTTCAAGTTTCTAAAATAACTCTGATATTCAAGAATAATTTCCTCAAAGAAGCCTAGCTGTTGCAAAAATGTGCTTGAAACTTTTACCAGAACTTGTTATTTATTATGTCTACAAACAAAAAAATATGTCCACAAATATGTGTCATGAATAGTAGCAGCACACAGTCACTTAATTATAGCAAACTTACTCGTAGGAAAAAAAATACAGAATATCCTCATAATGAAATAAAACACAATCTTAAACTACAGCAAATTCCAGTAACATTATTAATAGATACTGCAGGCAGCACAAAGCTGCTTCACCAGTTCAAACACAAATTCCTCAGCTACATAGCCTGTACGATCCTAACTCAGGCCAATTTTTCCACATGTTGTGATTACATGATGTAATTACATGATGTAATTAAACAGAGAGGAAAGATGGGACACAGTCACAAAACAATAAAGTAAAAGCCACGAGGTTCATAAAAACCATCAGATTAGGTCACAGGCAGATACTGTTACAGATTCTCTGTCTTAAATGCAGGACTGAGAAAGATCAACTAAGAGCAATCATCTATATTTAAACACACTTGAACTGAGTTAGAAAGAGCAGTTAGGCTGGAAAAGCAGCTCAGAGGATAGGCCTGTCTCTGGAGTAACTCCAGAGGGTTGCTGACCTGAACCTGACCTCCTCAGCTTAAAGCATGGAAGAAATGAGAAGGCTTTCCCCCCCGCCCCCCTCCCCAAAACAGCTCCACAGCCACATTACAATACCAGTGCAGAGGAAGCAGTCTTCCCTGAGAAGAGACCTACTTGCACTATGGGCAAGAGAAGCAAGAGATGGGTGCCAGCCAAGATGCACACAGGTGGGCTGACGCACAAGGCTTGTACCACCATGAGCCAACCCCAGGTCATGTTACCTGCCTTTCAGGTTCTAGAGCTGACAGCAGGGATAATGCCTAATAATCTCACTCCTCTCTAAAACGGCTTCTCAAATATGCACGAGTGGAACCTGGAAACACATCAAGTGGTTTTGCCCAGGGTATCTGGAAACTCAGGTAACCAGGTTTACAGAGGTATCTGAACTTCTTCCCATAATATAGGCATACCTTGAAAAATTAGGAATGGACATTACCAACCTACTGAAGTACTGATATGTACTGGTTGTAGAAGACCATTTACTTACAACTGAATCTACTTGGTAATGAATGTACTTGTGATGCTGGCTAGTTGCGTGGGATGTTTAAAACAAACTTAATGCACTAGGGAACCAATTTTACTGTCACTGCTCATATAAGACTACAAAATGTAGACACTCAAAGCTAGAAGAACTTTTAATTTACAGATAGGATGAGCTTGGAGAAGTTTCACCAAATTTTAACAGAAAACATTGAGAAAATGCATAGGTCAAGTATATGGCCAACTATTAGCAGTTCTCCTATTTTAAATATAAGAAACAAAGGGCTAAAACCCAGTGGAAATCTCAACAATTATGTCAGCTTATGGAAAAAAAAAATAGGCTATGAAACAAACCCTGGGAAAACTCTACAACCTCAAAGCTCAGCAGATTATGTTTTACATCTAAGACAGAAGCTAGAGTACCGAATTAGTCAGAAGAAACCTGTAAAACATCCATCTTACCCAAAAGAACACATGAATTTTCAAGCCTGGAGATAGACTACTGTTACCTGTACCCTCATGAAACTCCAGCCTCCAACCTATCATCCAGGGCCTTATGAAGAAAGAGAAGGAGCGAACTCAATGAGGTAGGAAGTAAAAAGCTTCAAATGGATAAATCTGTTGTCTTGAATACAAAACCTTAGTTATCAATTCATGCCCATCCCAATATTGTAAGCTGGTCAGACTACAGACAGGAGAAGAATTCTTGCCTTCATAAAGAGATCTTGCTTTTTACCTGGTAGAAAACTTCACTTACATTTTTTGAGCTAAACATCCCCTCTTCTACCATGAAATTTGGATTGAACCAAATAAACGAAATAATTTTCACACTGACTTTAGACAGACTAATTCATCTGGGCAAAACAGTCTGGGCATTGCCTGGTCTGAGGCTTGCCTCATTCTGACACCTTGTAAAAGGAGGCACAACCGGTAAAAAAACCCATGGTGACTGTAAACATGGTGACTGTTAGCCCTGGGAGGGATACCAGCAAATTCACTTTCTGACTGCGTCCCAGTTGCTTGTTTTTTCAGACATGCCTTCAGGCCTCATACCCACTACACCTGTGGCTATTGAACAACAAAACAGACCTTTCACTGGCCACAGCTGATGCCTATGTCTATCTCTACTACAAGCCCCTCATTCCTATCAGTTGTGACTTCAAACTCATCCTGCCCTACTGACATCAGCCTTTCCTCTTTCAGTCAGGCTGCTCCCCTTCTCTCCAAGCAATGGGCAGACAGAGCAGAGCAGGCAAGTGGGCAGGCAATGTCCTTTCCCTCGTTTCTGTCATTTAAAAATCACAGCAACCTCCTGCAACTCCAGAACTCAGGTTCAAGGAAACAGTGGACTATGGTGTAAAAGGTTTTATTAATCTAAGAAAGGCCAGGTTCAGTAAAGGCAAAAGAAAGACGCAGACTGGAACATTTCCAGTGGAAATACGCTCTCAACCATGACCTGTTTCTGATCAAAACTGGGAGCCCATTTATGGCAAAGACACAAAGACAATCATCACTGACAAATTTCACATTATTTCAAGATATGTGAAACTCTTATACAGTTAAATTCTATAAAGTGAAGAAAACTGGAACAAAAGCAGCCAACCTTCTCCATCTACCTCCTCTTCCCCTCCCACACACATTTATTTCTTACAAAGAAATGACTAGTTATTTGCTGAAGCTTTTACAGAAATTTCTACTTGAATGTAACCAGCATAGAAAATACCAATCTGAGCTCTTGCAACCTTGCCACGCTTTAAGAAAATATTCAAAAATGGTCAGTAATAGGTTTCAATACACATTCTCCTCAAGTTCTTAGCTTTTCAGTGCTTTGACTGGTAAAAATCTACGGCTTCAACAAAACCATAAAGTTAGGCTTCCACACTGATCCTAAAAGCACTTCTAAATTTGAGTGTATACCATTAACTTGTGATTCAGTTCACTGTGATTTTAAGTGTTTCCAGGTAACTCCAAAACACTTGGGTTTTACATCAAAGACTTCTGGAATGGAAACCAATTTTAAAACCAAAGTAAACTTAAAATATTCATGAGTAATATGTCATTGCATATGAACATACAATTATGTGCTCAAAAATATTTATATCATAAAGTACAGATTTAAAAACTCATGTTTCATGAAAAAAGCAAACCTAGCAAAGGAAGAGTTTAGTCTTATATTTACACATAAGCCAGCAAAAAAAAAAAAAAGAAACCACCCTCTAACTCTTCTATGCTATATTTTAGATATCACGTCAATTCTCTGTATTGACTATTGACTAAATACCATATACTTCAAGGAATGCAACATAAAAAAAATCCACACAAGCATCAACAGCTATAATTCTACTAGCCCATCACCCAAACTCCCACTAAAGTCAATACTGAATTTGAAAATCTTAAAACTTTTCTGAAAGATGTGAATGGAAAAAAAGTACTGGCAAACTTTAAATGAGTGCATGCCTGCATGTGCTACTTTCTTTTAACCAGTATTGTATTCTATATAATTTTGGCATACCTCCAAATTACAAGGATGCACTGCTGGTAAACAAACAACAAATAAAAGCCCCATCAAAAACTAAGGATATGTGCAGAAATATACTTTATTTTTCTTAAATGCTTACATCTTCTTTCTTTTTCCCAATCTTTTTACCACTAAGGAAGGCAACTAAACAAAGACTGCATGTGTTCAAACTCACCACAATATTCTCTTCAGACTGAAACTTCTTTTTCTTTGATTTCTGTCTGTCTGTTAGGCCAGCATGACGTCTGAAGATTTCCTCAAAGCGGACTTTGGTTTTTGCCTTTGCCTCGCTTTCAACTGCAGAAAGAAATTTAGAGTATGATTCACTACCTCAATAATCACCATTGCCAAAAAGTGCGTAATCATGCTTCAAAATTGCAAAGGACAAGAATTATTTTACAGGGAAAATTTACCAAGAAATTAAGTTAATATTCAGTTGAGAACTTCCACTGACAACATAAACCACACAAGGATAACTCAGCAACAATGCACAAATGCACCAAGCTATTACTTGTTGCTGATGTCAGCACTGTCTACTCCGTTTCCTGAAGAAAGCACACTTTGAAGAGCACACACATCAGGAACAGCCCAGAACTTGAGCTAGCCAAAGCCGAGGACAGGTTATTGCCCTTGCTGTTCATGAACAGTTAACAAACGTGACACACTGTATCCAGGAGAAGCAGCAGCTCTGGGTTCTTACTGACTCAGGAACCCAGAGGAGCACCACCATGAGACAGATCTGTATGAAGCAGGAGCATGCATGGATCCAAAATCAGCTGTAGCTGAGAGGCCCTGCCTTTCTGTGAATCATGATACTGCTATCAGCAGTATTTCAACCCTTGAAACAGTAGGTGTTCTAGCCCCCCTGAGGTAATGCTTAATTTGTAGCTAAAGAATTAAAAAAAGTAATCTGGCACACCACTGAAAAAGGCTGTTGAATCCTCAGCTATAGCATATTTACCATTGTAATTACAATTCTTACAAAAGCCCCCAAATTTAAAATAAAAATAATAAAAAAATGCTTTGAAAATCAGCTATAAACATGGACTCAAAACAGAGCCAATGCAGCATTAAAAATTTTTAGACAGAAATAACTTCTATCATTTGCATCTAGTTCTGACTATAAAATATGTATTCATCAAATACAAACAATACAAATCAAACACAAAGTATTCTTACCTGCTGGCATTTTCAGTCCTCCGTTAGAAGTGGCTCAACAGACCAGCTGCTTCTTCCTCAGAATTCACCATTCTATTTAAAGTAATTAACAACTTCCATTAACATAACTGGTCCATAGACTTGAAGCTAACAATTGAATGCATGCTAATTAATATCAAGGATGACTACAGGTCCCTTAGGGAAGTATTTATTAGAAGTTCTCTGCCATCAAATCTCAGCTCAGGATTTTCAGCATCTATCTGATACTTGTTATTTGAAAGTAAATAAAAACCAACACTACAGCAGTTTAATTAGCCATATATTTCTGGGCAACAGCCAAATACTTCAGTACTGTAGTCCTCCAGTCTTCTAAAAAAACCCACAGTTTATGTAAATAATAACGACCCATGAAGCCATTTATATTGAAGCCTTTCTAATCAGGTTCCTAGTCTGACAGCATCATCAAAGAAGTCACATTGTAGCCAGCTGATAGCTTTCAATGCAAAGATTTAATATCTGCCAGCAAATCTAACTTTACTACAAATCTCTAAATACTTATGTTTACATAAAGCATTTGTATTTTACATAAAACAGACAAGCAATTACATGAAACTCATTTCTCTATAGAAAAAATGTTGGGCCCTCCTGGTTGTGGAGAAAAGCCTACAAATCCAATCCAAACAAAGCTTGAAGGCAAATAAAAATATTACACAGCTTTATCTTTTCATCAAGAAAATTCAGAATGCTTTACAGAAAACTTTAATACAAAAGCTGTTTTGTAAACAGTGGAGCTAATGAAACCTAGCTTTCTATGAATATGTTATGTTCTCTTTAGCCTTCCATGCAATAAACTATTGCACTGATCTCCTTGATACCCCATCAGGCAATAACTCCAAGTTCTCCCTAGGTAACACCTTCTGTTAGACACCACTAACTCACATGCACTGGACACCAGACTACATCTATCCTAATAAATTTAGACACAGCATTAAATACTGCCAGGCTATATGACTGCATTATCCTTGGCACCATTTTGGTCCAAGCCATCTGACACCCACCCAAGCAATTCCTAGATACAGTTTAGGAGTTAGTATGGATTATTATTAATAAAGGGTTTGCACACAGCCACTCTGATTTGGGGCTAAGAGTATGTATACTACCATTGAAGTAGTAACAAACCACTTGGCCTCAACACTAAAAATCACTCCTGGGTACGCATATCTTACAGGAAAGAGCTGAGGCTACACTTATGTCCCCAAGCATCTACACTACCTTACCTTACCCTCAGATCCCTCCCATCTCTCTTTCACAGTGTTCCTTAGTTCTTCCCTGTCCCCCACAGGCTACATGCTTTCAGATCATTTCACATTTGTTACTTACAGTAGTTTGCTTTCGTTTGGCTAGCCAGCAGACCAAATGAAGAAAAACAAACAAACAAACAAGCAAAGTGTTAGGGTTGATTTGGGATTACAGAAATTCTGATTAGTCAGTTGCCAGGTGCCATTAGTTTATTTCATGTATTAAGCAAAGCATCTATGCTAAGTATCCACCAATCTAAGCATGTTTGAAATGAACAACAATGACCAGAAGGGACTTTGTAGGAAGAAAAAAAATGTTTTGTTCTTTAATATGCTTCATCATGAGAATTTAGCAATATTTTCACTAACTGAAATATGTTTTGACTTGTAAAGCAAAGCTTTACTGTCACAACTAAAACAGTAACATTTAAAAAATAACACTTCTTACAAGAAATGAAAACAGAAAATATTATTGAAAAATAAATCTGCAAAAGCAGATTTATACTCAGTTATACCAAAAGGCCATTTTAAAAGTTCTCAGTTAAGTGCTGCTTTTCAACTAGTCGATTCCCAATTAGCTAGAAAATACAATTTGAAAGAGTAGAAAACTGAATATAGTTATAAAATACAGATTTTATAACTTTAGTCATTCTCCAAGGATTGCAAGAACATGGAAAAGTCTCATGACTAGTCGAGTGATTTCAAACACCTCTCAGAAAAACTGATTACAAACAACAAATGAAATGCTGAAGTGCTCTTAAATTTAAAACATAAAATATGAGAGACAATATTATTACAATAGCTATTTTGCACAGCAAAATAACCGAAGTACATACCTGTTCCAAGTATGTAAATAATTTTATGGTCAAAAGTTAAATAAATCACAGCAGAAAAAACTATAGGTAAATTAATTTTGCAGATACTTCTCCTTATAATGGAACAAACACCTTTCCAAAGGCTAGGCTCACCTTGTGTCTACCAGCACTCTCTTTGAAATGCACAGATTTGCCTAATTCACCAGTGAGTGCATCATTTTCTATTTACCTCTATTTATTCAGCAAAAGTCTATCCTCTTGTGGCAATAAAATTAAGAGATAATAGCACTATCATTAGAGGACTTTATTTTATGCAGATTTCCAATTTAGAATTGCATAACCTTTGACATGGTGCACAAAAGCAACTATTAGACTTGTGTAAATATAGATCATTAATCAACAAGGCTGTTTACTCAGTATAATCTCACCTTAAAATAGCAGAGATTTAATCTTACATCAAAGTTCAGCAATCACAATGCCCCAGTGTGAATAAACTCAGTTATCATTAAAATTAATCTTATAAAATGAATTTTTGTCTCATCAGATTTGATCTCTTCCATGTTAATAAATATAAGACAATCCAGGAAAGATAAAACTACACACTTGGTACAGTGGCATATTCCAGCCATCAGGAATAACTAGGAAAACAAAATCATGAAGCCCAAAGTTCCAAGAATTACTATATTTACCTTCCTAAAAATAATCGAATTTGCTCTTCTCTAATATTCCATCTGTATTTTTAAATGTGATTCTACATTTAATTCTTGCTCTTTTCACAATATTTTACAACACTCATCGAGTTGCTGTATTCTGCAAAACATGCCACAAAGCCTGCTATGCACAAAAACCACTTTCATTGATCACTAAAAAATACCAACAACCAAACAAAACCTATACTATAATGGAGCAGAACATACAAAATCTGTATTACACAATGGAAAGTGCAAAATTTCCTATCTAATTAGGACCATTTAGGAAACTGAGTTGACAAAATATAATTGCACACTTCAGGATTTTCATTAACTAAATCCCTCATTTTTCTTTCATCGTAAAAAGTGAATGTAATCTTCAGTGGCTGAAAACAGGTAGAACATCAGGCCTTGTTTACTTCTCAGCTTTTAGATGAGATCAGTCATCATAGTGGGAAATCGTAGGTTCTACTGGTCGGTTTCTAAACCTGTAGATCCGTAGCTATCTGAAAAAGTTTTAACTTGGAACCAGCAAAATAACACTGAGTTGAATCTGTTCCTCTCCACTAATGATGTGACATCAAAAACCAATCTGGTTTTATTCATGAAAATTTAAGTCCAGAAAACTGACATGACAGTTTTATTATTACCATGTAAATACCTATGTACTTGCATATCAAATAAACACTACTAAAAATGCAGCAGCTTTCTACCAGTTGAAATGTGCCTGTAAAAACCTTGTGTGCACACTAATTTAAAAGGATGTTTAAAAAAGCTACCCATTTGAGTTTTCTAAAAGTAACATATCAGAAAGCTTTAGCTTCAGAGTAAACTGCCTTTTTTTCCCCCCAGATTTGGCACCTTTCATTGGTCAGGAGGTTGAAACAGTCTCTGCTCTCATGGCAAACCTATGGACTTCAGCTCTATGTAAGAAAATACATCTGACTTTTATTGTTTAGTAGATTTTAAGTCTCTGCCTTATCTTAGATCGTAATTATGAAAACAGGTTCTCATCAAGACACCACCCGAAGTGTTTTAATTTCCAAAGTGGCACTTTGCTTTGCGTAGAGGAGTAATGGTAAACAACAAAGACGCAAAGGAACAGTCCCAGCACACAGCGTAACAGGACTAAGCAATGGGATTAATTCCATTTAATGTGCTGATGCACATTTCCTCATGCGAGGGAGGCATCGCTGCTTTGGGGCTTAACATGTCAGGCACAGGAGAAGCACTGTACCTTCATGTACGTGTTGCGGGGTACAAACTGACCGCACAATCTCACCTGAGTCAACTACAAAGCTTATACTGGGGCGGGGGGGAATACCAATCAAGGGATTTGGGCTTCAGGCGGCATGGCTTCACGCCACCGCGCTGCATGAAGGCCAGAAGACGATGGCCACACACTGGCCCCTCCAGGCCGCCTGTCCCGCTTGCCCGCCC